TTCAAAGGCAAGGCCCCTATGAAGCGCGATAAACGCACTAATCAGATACCTCCCGTGTACGCTGGGGAGGCCTCCTCGGATGAGGAGCAGGACGTGCCCCACTCTCTCTCCATTCTGGATGAGTGGCAGGCTGAGACCTCCGACTCTGACGAAGGCGATTGGGGCCCCAACGCCTATGTCACCGAGACATTTCTGGGTGAGCCCCAGAAAAAAGGAGATGCGGAACCCCCCGCCACGGCCACGCAGGAGCAGGAAGTATTCCTGGATTTCACGGGCCAGAGAATGTTTGATCCTAGGAAGATCCGCCACCCCCGCTCAGGTGAGTGGACCCCTCCTGATCATCTCATCCGCTTCATGCATTTTTGGATCAGAAAACCTTTGGAAAAACATATCCGTAAGAGGATGCGGGCAGAGTGCCCGAGACCTACCCTGCACGATAAGGTGGCCTATACGCCGGAATTTGATCAGCTTATGCTGACCTTTATGGAACAAGGGGGCCGCGACCCACGGAGGGGGATTGAGAAGAGTTTTAAGGGAGCTCAGGATAAACTCCTAGACACAATGGGCCCGTTGGCCCGAGTTATGTACCTGGCGGACGAAGCATACGCCAGAGCGGACTCCTTCACGGCAGACATGGTACGAGAATGGGCACATAATATCCGAGAGTGGGCCCAGAGGGGCTTTTGTTTTCTCGGTAATACAAATGCGGCCCTCTCTACGGAGCGGCGCCGGGCAGCACTTTTTCGTATCGACCCCAAATTAGCTGACCTCGGGGTCAAAGAATTGGGCCCACAGGCACAGGGCAAGCTCTTTGGTGAAGCTTTTATGAAGGAACTTAATAAGCACGTAAACGTTTTTACCTCCTTGAATAGAGCCTGCACGTCCATGCGTAAGGTCTTCCGAGGTTCCTCCGCAAAGGGTGTTTTTTCAAGGGCTGGTCGGCAGCGGGGCCATGCCGCCAGCCGGTTCTGGCCTTCAGGCCCCCGTATGGGCTTCCAGCACCAATTCTTCCCTCAACAAGGCTACCAGGGCAACGGAGCCAAACAACCATTCCCCTATTACCAAAGGGGTTCTGACAGAGGACGGGGCGGTCGAGGACGAGGCCGTGCACGCTTCCCTACAGGTAAGAGACCACCTTTGTTTGGTACCTCATATAACTATGATTGCAGGCCGTGTTTCCCTGTTTTCCCAGAATTGGGCGCAACTGTCCACGGACGCTTGGGTGCTACAGACCGTCCAAGGATATCGAATAGAACTCCGATCACAGCCCATTCAAAGATTTCCCCCTTATCCTTTACGCCTTTTGGCTGCGAACAATCGCCTCATAAACGGGGAACTCCGCGAGCTTCGCATAAAGGGCGCTATCGAACCGGCGCACACAAGGGGAGGATTCTTCAGCAACATGTTCCTCGTCCGCAAGAAGACCGGGGACTTCCGGCCAGTGATCAATTTGAGAGGACTAAACACGTTTGTGACCTACCGCCATTTCAAAATGGAGGGCATCCATTTACTGCGGGATCTCCTCCAAGAAAGGGATTGGTTTACGCGGCTAGACCTCAAGGACGCTTATCTGACAATTCCAATCCACATGGACAGCCGTCCATTTCTCCGCTTCCTCTGGAATGGCACGCCATGGCAGTTCACGTGCCTTCCGTTCGGACTGAGCTCGGCACCGTGGTGCTTCACAAAAATGCTCAAACCGGTGGTATCCCACCTCCGAACACGGGATCAGATGCATAATTTATCTGGACGACATTCTCCTGTTCTGCAGAACAAGGGAACTGGCCATCCGGCACACTATGTATACAGTACAACTGTTAGAATCCTTGGGCTTCGTGGTCAACAAGGCCAAATCCGCAATGGTGCCTGCCCAACGAATCCAATTCCTGGGCTTCGAGATCGACTCCAGGTCTTGCACCCTACATCTCCCCTCAGCCAAAGTGACAGCTATCAAGAAGGAGATCCGCAGGGTTCTCAAATTGGATTCCATTCCGCTCCGTCAACTGGCACGGATTGTGGGACTCTTATCATCTTCAATACAAGCCATATTTCCGGGACCCCTTCACTACCGAGCGATGCAACGGCTGAAGGCCAGCCTCCTCCGCCAAAATCCCACATACAACCAACCAGTCTCGCTGTCGGAAGAAGTATACCAAGAACTCCAGTGGTGGCTCCACTGCATGCAGGCCTGGAATGGTCGGGCCATCTTCGGCAGTCAACCGGACTTCGTCCTAGAGTCGGACGCGAGTCGCCTAGGATGGGGCGCCACGGACGGAGAAACGTCCACAGGGGGCACGTGGACACCACAGGAATTATCGATGCATATCAATTGCCTCGAACTCCTAGCGGGTTCCTTTGCTATCCGCAGCCTCACAAAAGGGCAGTCCAATTGCTGTATACTGTTGAGAATGGACAATGTATCCGCGGTACGATACATCAACCGCTTGGGGGGCACCCGGTCGAGAACCCTGGTGCATCTGACGAAGGAAATCTTCGACTACTGCCTCCCGCGCAATATCACACAACGGGCAGAACACCGGCCGGGGGAGAAGAACCTCACTGCGGATTGGTATTCCCGTCATTGGAGGGATGCCAGCGACTGGCAACTGGACCCGCGGATATTCGCACACCTACAAGACCAGAAGGGACCCTTTCGACTGGACCTCTTTGCCTCACGAAACAACCGGCAGGTCCCACAATTCTACAGCTGGCTACCGGACCCAGATTGCTTAGCGGTAGATGCCTTCACTCAGCACTGGCCACATCAAGGGGCATATGCCTTTCCCCCTTTCGCCATGATTGCCAGAGTTCTCAATCACCTTCGCAGACGGAGGGTCCGACTGACCCTGCTGACGCCACTTTGGCCGAGTCAGCCCTGGTTCCCGGACCTTCTCGAATTGTCTTATCAGGACCCGATCCTCCTACCGAACAACGATATGTTACTCAGGGACCCGACGGGGAACGCACATCCGATGGTGTCAGACGGCCGTCTGACCTTAGTGGCCTGGACTCTTTCAGGGGAACCTGGCGTACCGACGAATTATCGTCAACGGCTAAAGACCTCCTTTGGGATTCCTGGGCCCCGGGAACACGGAGAAGCTATCTATCCGCATGGAGAGCTTGGACCAGTTGGTGCGTGGGACGGGACTTGGATCCCTTTACAGCCCCTGTTTCAGATATCATGAATTTTCTCTCAACCCTATTCGAGGACGGGAAGTCGTACCGCACCATAAATGTCACGAGATCAGCTATCTCGGCAGCGCACGTGCCGTTTCAAGGAAGGGCAGTTGGACAGGATCCGCTAATATGCCGCCTGCTACGGGCATCAAACTAAGGAGACCGCCAGCACCTAAATATCAACATCTCTGGGACGTGGAGATAGTCCTTCGTTTTCTCAGGGACTGGCCTCCCAACGAACAGCTGTCATTGAAACAACTGACGGCGAAGTTCACCTTCCTGTTGTGCATGGTGTCCTTCCGGAGAGTGGCTGACGTTCGGACTTTCGATAAGGACACTTTCTCCATTGGACCCGAAGGAGTCACGTTTCACATATCTCAGCGTAACAAATCCAATACAGCATCAGTGTTCTATCCGTTTTTCAATTCGGATCCCCAGCTATGCGTGGTCCGGACCCTCCGAGCCTACGTGTCGGCAACGGAAGGCTTACGCTCACCGTCTGCACGACAACTCTTGGTATCATATGTGACTCCACACGGCCCTGTCTCGGTCATCACATTGGCCAGATGGGTCAGGTGGATGCCTCATTTGGCGCACACTCCGTTCGAGGGGCAGCGGCATCATCGGCATTTTTAGCAGGCGCCTCTCTGGCGGATATCCTACACACGGCAGATTGGTCCCGGGAATCTACCTTTCGGACCTTCTATTTTCGCCCGTCATCCAATGCCGCTTTCGCTCTTCTACCTAAGCGTTAAAACTGCAAATACGAAGCCTCCTGTCATGTTATAAAATTGAAGATTATGCTAGCGCAGTGTACTAATAATCTTAATTTTAATAATGACAGGAGGCGAGTATTTCCCACCCTTTCTTTCTCATAGAAGTTCCCGCCCAGATGGAGGTAAGTAGTTGGTGGGAGTAGTTTGGTTGTATATCGGGACTTACTTACTTGAATTAGCTTGTTATGCTGTTATATTTATTATAAGCTATTAGACTAGTTGGTATGGTGAATTTTAAGATGTCTTATTGACTAGTTGATTCGTTACAGATAATTGGTTTTTCTTTGGTCAGTCCCGTATCATTGATACTACTCTCCCTCTCTTTTCAGTTTGACAAACCACAAGGATGATGGGAAGGCTGAAGAGGCCATTGTTATGACCATGTTGGATTTCATTATGACGGTTGGAATAAAGTTACTAAGGACTTATTACTACGTTTGGATCTTGTGATGTCGCAGTAGTCAAGAGGAAATGATTGGCTACGCTGGGACTTATATATCCTCTGTTCTACTCTGATTGGTTCTTTCTTTAATGATTTTTTCTTTGCTGCTATGGAGCTAGTAAAGAAAGTTGATGCAAATACTCGCCTCCTGTCATTATTAAAATTAAGATTATTAGTACACTGCGCTAGCATAATCTTCAATTATCACACAGAGATATAAAAAAAGATAGATGGGGACATGAACAAAAAATAAGGGTTAAATAGAGAGCTAAG